CAGGACAAAACAGAGGTAGTATTCGGCAGATTTCAGACCTGTACAGTTTTAACAGTCCCAACCTACCAGAATTCCAGAATGTCTAAAAGCCATTAATCAGCCGGAGAGATCCTTATCACTTATAATCAAATCGAATTTTTGAGATGACAGGTCATCCTTGACCTACAGTTGTCTCTTAACACATGAACAGGATTACACGATCCAAGAAAAACAGGGGTATACAGATTCGACAGCATTCAGCCGCCCAGATTCATATGGTTTTCACAGGAGGGTAAAGAAGAGAAAATGGGAGAACTGTACCAGTTGTAGAGCTGTTTTTTCAGTCCAGATTCAGATTTCTGTTCCGCCCAGGTTCAGCAAGTCTGTTCGATCTGTTCTCTCAGTAAAGGTTGTTCGATCTGCTCTCTTTAATCAGTATTCCCGCTCTGATACCATCTTGACAGTATGGCCGGCCACAAATAAGAGGAAGAGAAGAGAAGAGAAGAGAAGAAGAGAAGAGAGAAGAGAGAAGAGAGAAGAGAGAAGGGTTTTGCAATGTAACAGTATTGGCGGCGCCAGCCTTTATTTTAATATATATAGGGCAGCAGAAATAACAAGGGAAAAGACCCTTGTGCCCCTGAGTACAATAACARACATAACAGAAAGAAAAAAACGAAATAAAAGAAACACTTTAACTAGCCAAACAGACCCTAACATCAACAACTAAATTATTTTAACAGATACTTTATTGCAGCCTTGTACTTTCCAGTCCGCTGTTGGTCTGTCTTAATAATTGTAGTCATAGTCATTATTCTAGTGAAGCCTAAATTTGTTTGTGGCACTCCAAACTAGTTCATTTAAATTTTCAGTACTAAGATATTATTTCCTGAGTTGTTTATGTCCATGGTCCATACTTCCTTTAAGTCTTCAATGTGAGGTATATGAAGTGTCCAAGCATTGTAGAACAATTTCGGTGAAGCATCCATACTGCATACTTGGTTAATTTGAAATTTTAGTTAGAAAAAGTCACTTTGGTGCAGCCCTTTTCATTTGCACCACATCTGAATCCCATTCATAGATATTTCATATGCAAACATTCCTTTGGGTCAAGATGGTTGTTATCGTAAATGTTATCTCTGCAGTGTCTGCAATTGCATTGGCTTAAACACTGTCCATGAAAAGAGGAGCTTCCTTTTAATGATTTTTCATTCTTATATGTAGAGCGGTCCATGGATGAAAAATCAAGAAGCTTTGTCCAAAAGGACGCCTTTGAGGGTAGTAGGAAAGATATAAACGCAGCTATTGATAGAATGTGTGAGTTAACAGGTATCATTGTCATCACATTATTTTGTCAATATTAGTTATACACAAAAAAGGAAAATGAAAGAGAGCTTGTCATTATACATCAATATGGTTTGTGACTTTTGTGCAGGAACTAAAATTATCTTTTGGGATTTAAGAGAGAAATTCATAGACAACTTGTACAGAAATGGTGTTTCACAGTCTAGGTTGGATTCACTAATTGAACCACTTGATATGGTAAGCTTTGTTTTGGTAGGACTCTTTTTTCACATTAAATAATTCTCATTTTATGGCACAAAGATGGAAATTGACTTTCAAGGGGGAATATAAAATTATTTCATAGGTAAGAATAGCATACTGATCAAATATTGAGAGCTATTCCTTGCATGTATAATGCATTTAGTTTTTCCATTTGAGTTTCTTTCTTCTTCCATTATTATAGTTCATGAGCCGCCTTAGTGTGCCTTTTCTATCCTTGCCACTTTCATGACCATGCTGCTGACTCTCCTTATCTATAAACAAGTATAGTTATGAAATTCTAGAGCCAGAATCTTTTTGAGCTTTTTTACGCAGAAAAATAAATATTGCAAGATGAATGCACCTTGAAAGCATTAGGTCGCATTTGATACTTGGCTTCTCTCTATATATCCACAATTCCACATATGATCACGTATTGAAGAGATATTAATTAATTTAAGATTTAGGGGTACTCTTTTTAATGTAACATGTTCAGCATCAGTGGACCTTGACAGGTGATTTAGTCATTTGTTTTTTATTTTATGAAGGTTACTTTTTTCTTCTTCCTCTTTGGTCATAATGGCATCAAATGCAGACTGATTTTTCAGTTAGTTTTCTTAACAAGTCTTATTGGACTTTGACTGCAAGTATTATAGAAAACAGCATTCTTGGAATGCTGTCAGTAGATGTAAATGGCTTAGGAGAAGATGTTGATTTATCTTTGTCTCTACAAGTTCTAGATTAAAAAAAAAAAAAAAAAAAAAAGAAACTGAAAAGTGACATTGTTTGGTTCTTGGAAATTCTAATGTTTACATTTCTTTCCTTGACATTGTTAGATGAACAGGTTCCATAAATGGCAACCATAAAAACCTACAACATAAAAATAACCACACTATTACATAGCACTCTGTGTGAATTTGTACACCTAGATACTGAATACATGAATTGCATGACATGTGGAGAGCTTTTGCCTACATTTAAAACCATAGAGTGTCATTCTAGAATGAGATGATCAATGATGAGAACTACATCAAACCTAACTGCATTTAATAAAGTACATTATGAAAATAGAGGAGTTTGTACATGTGTGTGTGCAGAGGTCATACTACAAATCAATTATTCCCAACTTTGGGATCTCCTAGGCCCAAAATATTTCTGATTGAAATAGTATAGTTAATTCTTTCTATTGATAATTCTTGAACTATGTTATAATTTATCTGACCATCCAAAGGAACATTGATGTTATTAAAGTAGATCTTAGAGAATTGAATGTTTTTTCTGCATAAATTTCATTTTGAAAAATGAACTCACCCCCAATTGATTATTAAACATAGATTCTATTCTTAGGACATAGCTGTTACATTAATTGCTGCAGGTACTAAATCAACTCTGTGATGTTATTGTTGAGCCACTGAGAGATCGCATTGTGACAGGCCTTCTTCAAGCATCATTGGTTTGTACCACAACCAACTACTTTTAACAAGTTTCTTAAGATCCTAGAACTTTTAAGTTTAGTCAAATGAGTATCCTTGCCAGGATGGGTTACTGCGGGTGATTCTAGATGGAGGTCCATCACGTGTTTTCTTTCCAAGTGATGCTAAATTATTGGAAGAAGATCTGGAGATATTGAAGGTATGTCACCATGATCTGTTTGAATGCTAGAACTACAGGCTTTATTACTACCTGTTTTTTTGTGGGGAGTTAAACAGGTAAAAGATGCCATCACACACTTGAAAATTTAAAATACAAGATTATCTTTCTTCATGTTTCCAATTTTAAGGAAATTCTTCTTTCAAATTTCAGAAAGGAAATTGTATATATCTCTTTTCATTATTCTGTCTTTCTATTCAGGAATTCTTTATTTCTGGCGGGGATGGGCTTCCTCGTGGGGCAGTTGAAAACCTAGTGGCACGTGTTCGGCATGTAATAAAGCTCCATGGATGTGAGGTTAGTTCTCATGCTCCAATTGATGTTAGACCTTACATGTGTACATGCATACATTTGTATGTAGACCTCTGGGTATTGCTTGCTAGAACAGTCGGTTAGGGGAGAAGTCTAAAATCATACAGACATACTGGGTAGTTCCCACAAAGGAATCCACAATATTCGTATCTTCACCCTCTATTAATGGACATGTTTCACTGGAAAGGTCCTTACAACATGTCTAATCTAAGGCTCTTTCAAGGAACTTGACTAATTTATTAAAAGATTTTCTTAAGAAAACAAGAAGAGAATGAAAACAGAAGAGTAGAAAAGAGAAGTTGAAAGAATCGGTGGATCACGCTCGTGGATTATACACCTACTTTATATATATATATATATATATATATATATATATATATATATAATTACATGCTTACCAAAAACAGAGAATTATAATTACATAAAACCTCTGATTAACTTACATAATTACAGTTTCTAAAATACCCTTAAGCTAACACTAATCTCAACACTTTCCCCCTCAAACTGAGTATAGATGTTGTACATTCCCAGCTTGCACAGATTATCCTCCAACTTGGACTAAGGTACACTAATCAAACAATCAGCCAATTTATCTTCAAACTTGACCAAGGGTAGAAACACCTTTCCACTTGCAGTATGTTCCTTATTGAAGTGCCCATACCTCAGTAAGTTTAATGTGATCATTCTGAACAAGGTTGGTGGCAATGCTTATTGCTACTTGAATGTTACAAAAGAGATTCATGGGTTTATCAAATTGAACCCTCATTTATTCTAGCAAAGTGTTCAATCAAGGCAGCTCAAAAAGCTGTTGTAATACCTCTGAACCTAGCCTTTTATTTTACTAGGTTGTGGATTAAAGAAAGAAGGCTTACTAGTCAAGGACTTGGGTTAGCAGTCCACATGCTATTTCTATGTTAATTAGAATTTAATATTAGGAAATAAAATCATTATAAATTATTGTTTTATAACTATATTTCTTTTCCATCACACCTATTGAGTGGGATCTAATATAATTTTTTTTTCTGCAGACTCGTGTATTGATTGATGACTTGAAAACAGCAAGTGGACTAGAAATGCAAGGAAGCGGAGGCAAACTGGGTGCTGATACTCAAACTCTCTTGAGAATTTTATGCCACAGAAGTGATTCAGAGGCCAACCAATTTTTGAAGAAACAATATAAGATACCAAGATCTGCTGCTTAAAGCCATATTGTTTGGAACATCCGGATAAGCAGAAGAAAAAAAAATGGAGCATTCTTTCAAGGCTTTCTTTTACGTGAATGTAATTTATTTGGATTCATTTTAAATTATTCGATTCCATTTTTTCTCGTTTGAACGACTGTGTTGATGTTGTTTGTAATTATCTTTCGTTCAAAGCCTCTTGGAGAGAAGAATGAATTATTTCTGTTCAAGGTGTACAATGTGGTTGCTCAAACTGGACCAGGTTCGACCTTAGCGTCCGATGAAATATCTAGAGGGACTTGGGTTGGAAAGTCAAACCTTGTTGATAACTCAATTAGGGTTGTAGTAATTGGGCCCTAGCCATTGTTATTCAACCCATCTAGTGCCTATTATATACATATGGTTGTAACCTTGGATTTGATCTCAGTAGTTTTCACCAAGGCTGCGTTTGGAAATGGTGCAAATAGAGTGTAAATGCCAGCTCATTGCAAGGTTCAAAATTTCGCAACGTATCGGACCGTATCGTTTCGGTACAATTCTGATACACGGAACATATAAAAATTATCTATAGCATTCCTTTTCGTATGTATCGTTCTGTATCTTTTGGACCCTGTATCGGACTGTTTCAGGTCTGTATCGATCGATACGGAACCAATACAGCCTGATACAAGTCCCCTCCTCTCTCATTAATTTCATTAAATTATATTTAAGGCCGAATTACCTTTCATTAATTTTATATTTACTCCTATATTTAAATGAATTTATCTCATTAATTAGTTAATTACTTCTGTAATTAATGCACAATTTTAACTTTGAATTTCAATTTTAGCGCTTAATTGGAATTCTCTTCTCATTAATTTTTTTTATTAATAACCCTCTTTCTCATTAAATTTGTTTTGTTAGTATAAAACCACAAATTAGCAATAGCAAGATTCGAACCCTAGCCATTAGGCTTTAAGAACTAGAGGTTCACCACTAAGCCATGCCCACTTGCTTGCTAGGTATAGGTTTATGCATTTTTATTTATAAGTAAATTTTCTCGTTTTCTTAGTATATATTTATCAATAAATGTTAGAATTAGTTATTAAAATTTATGTATTAATAAATATTAAGATAAATTATATTGATTATTTTAAAACTAATGTATATCAATATACACTTTAGTTTTTTGTTTGTTCTTTCACATTTTAGTTATTCCATCATTTGTCAATAGTTACTAACTGTGTCTCGATATCTTGAATTTTATATAGACCATTAAATTACAGCTTTTTTACTTTTAAATAACTTATTTACAATCATCTAAAATTTGTAACTATCATTATTAATATATTTTTTAGGATTTATTTGCAATTTTTAGCATATTTATGTGTATCTTGATTTTCCGTCCGTATCCATACCTATCCAAAGCATATCCCAATACGTCTCTTAAAATTATCTTTCCAATACACTTTTATGTTTTCGATACTTTAAACCTTGGTTCATTGTACATATGTATTCTGATTTAGTTTTACTAGTGTTTGGCAAGAATGCATTTATGTATTGACAATGACAGAAAACACATTTTTCAATGCATATTTACATTGAAAATGAGATGTAAAACTACACGAGTAAAAAAGAATTAAATTTGCATTCAAAGTGGGCTTCTATTAAAAACGCATGTTACTTTATTGGGATTTTTGTTTGCATCCATTACAGTTAAAGGCGGTTTAATAGGATGGTAAATTTGTCAATGCAAAACTAACCCAACTTTGCATTTGTTGCATTTGTGTGGGTTGTTTTACACTCTACATATTTGCATTTACACACTATTTGCATCGTTTCCAAACATAATCCAAGGTTCAAATGATCAGAATGCATAGAGTATTGGAAAGAATTTTAAGAGACATGGGTGTATGCTTTGTATACACATGGTTATCATGGAAAATTTAAGAGATGTGGAAAATTCATATAAATCTGAAAAATATAACAAAACTAGATCCAAATCCCAAATGACCACAAATAAGGTATAAATACATGACAAACATATGTTCTAATAGTTTGTGTAGTGTGAGGGATGCATTATGGTAGAAGAATAAAAACATATTGAAATCGAGAAAAATTAGTCTCAAATATCAATTAAATATTTTATAAATAGCACCAATTGAGTATCAATATGTAATGGTTTAGTATTGATTTACAATAGTTGAGTATGGTTTGTAATAGTTGATTATAGGTTCGTAACAGTTAAGTATGGTTTGTATGAATTTGTAACAGTTAGTAACATTTGAACATGGGTTTGTAATACCTCAGAAAAAAGGAACATGGGTTTGTAATAATTTGTTATAGTTGAATACTTGAATATAAGTTTGCAATGACAACCTACATGGTACATACATCAATATGTACCGAGAGTGAACTTTTATCTGACCATTTCCTATCATTCCATGTATCAATATCACCTAAATGTAAAAAAAAAAAAAAAAAAAAAAAAAAGAAAGAGTTTTTTATAAATTCCTCTACTTTATAAAATTTTTAGTTTGTATAGTTAGGAATAGACCTGTTTGTGTACCGGCCTAACCCATTTGTTATTGTTTAGGTTTGGACAAAATTTCAGACCCACAGGCTTGGACTTTCTCAAATAAGCCTGGTTTGAGCCTGAGCCCAACCTGATACTATTACATATAATAAAAGCATACATTAATTATATATAATATATATTAGTTTATTAAATTATTATCAAATACTAATTTACTATTTAGGAAATACAAATAGTTTACTAATTTATTAAATTATTACCAAATTAATATGATATTAGTTTATTAAATTACATCGTAAATAAGACATTTTATGTGCAAATTAGGCTCGGGATCTAGCCTAGACATTTTCTATTGATAAAGAGGTAAAGTCTGGTCCAAACCTAACCCGGCTTGGCCCATGAACAGGTCTAGCTAGGAACAGTAACTGGTGGACGAATCCATCACAAACAAGGGGGATACTGTACTATAGGTGAAGATTTATGACAATTCATTCAAAAACCAATAAAAGTTTGTGAGAGATCTCAAACCACAAATTTTCCAAAAAAAAAGAAACATCTACAAAACCTTCTAATATGGCTTGACATAATAAACCTTGATGTATAAAGCTTTTATATAATCATTTAAGACTTGGTATCGTTGATGTAATTTTTCTACTATGCATATACAAAACATGTATTGATCATACATCTCGTAAAATTGCTTTTTCGATTGCAACCAAGTAAAACAAACACTAAAGCTTATAGCCACTCCTACAGCCATTACATGCTCTTTCACAACTTCTGCTCTCCTTAACACTATTACGTCCTCAAACTTACCTAAATGACTTTTGAATCTCACTCCCAATTCATATACACTTCTATTGTTACCATTGGCCTCAAACTTATCCATCTCTTCTTCTACATAGTCTCCTATTTGGACCTCCAGAAAATTTGAAATGTCTTTCTCTGTGGTGATGGGTTATGAAACTTCAATACCTCCTGCACTGTGGTACCCTCACGGAAGTGACTTTAAGCTCCTTCAAGAAGTCTTCCATCGATTCAGATAACCAGTTCTCCCTTAAACCATGCAAGAAAGCCCACCACTTTGGTACCCTCACGGAAGGTTTGATGCCAACACATAAATATTTATTCGCACAAAATTCTTTTACCAGATGAAAGCAAATACCACAGCTTCCAGGGAATTTCGACTTCCTTGTTTATCATTTTCAAAATAACCAAAGAATCCAGAAGTTTTGTGTGTTTGATTGTTTTTCTAGAATTGAGAAGTTCTGGTTATGCCAATCAGTTCAATCTTATTCAACGATTTGTGAGGATGCTGGTTCTAATCCAATACATAATTAAAACATAGTAGAGTTGTATCACATGTAGTAGTATTGCATTTTATTAGTCAAGCTATTTGCAATGGAGACTGGAGAGAGAGAGAGAGGAATTCAGTTCAGACTAGTGGAATCATTCACCATCCCTGGAAAGGAATAACTTGTCAATGTAAAGGACAAGAGCCGATGCATCCACATAGATTTGCATATAAACCTTCAGTGAGTTCTCTGAAATCACCAAATAACATTACCATATTATTACAAATTTCATGTAAACCATCTTGTCTGCTAATAGTTCCAAGTATTTTAGTTATTTTACTGATTCTTCTGTGCCACGTTATTGGGTCAGATTAGGTTAGTTGATGGTTAAATCAGTTTGACCAATGTGGTCCTGGTTTAAGTTCTCTTACTGGCCTGGCTTTGAAGGATTGGTTTTGGCAACCTTGAATTAGAGCAAATGTGTGCTTAACAGGAAAAGTATTGTTTCACGACATAATTAAAACTGTAGTTTCAAAACTCACCTATTCAGCTATATATGTTATTATGTTATAGATTAATTTGACTAGTCCTTTGCAAGCTTCAAAATTTCGATACAATACACTTCATCAGGTTTGCTTGTTAATACCCCTATTTTAAAGGCATTTTTAAGAAATTCTTTTTTGATAACTAAATAACATAAAATAGCCCCCTGTGAAATTTTGAATAAAAACTAGAAAAAATAAAAAGCGCAAGGTTGAAAGCATTGATACACCCTTTTCTAAGTGTATCGGGGTGTATCAATATTTTGAACCTTGGTCCTTTAGATAACCAGTTGGGTTTTCAAAATAACTTAGGGGCACTAAACTCAAAGTTCAAAAATATGTATAGTGTCTGATGATGAGATGTGCAGTGTTAGATCTAATTGGTAGAGGGTTGGAATGTGTTTTTGTTGGCAGAAGATCTCAACTCTGGTGAATTGCCCCTACAAATGTGATTTACGGTCTCAATCATAAAATGCCAATCCATAAATAAGTTTATTTATGTTCAAATGAATAACTGATAATTATGTTATAAGAGATGCATCAAGGTACACTTAGAAAATGGTAGGATATATAGTTGAACAATTAAAATATATACGTATATGATGATGAATACACATAAATCTTACAAATGCATAACAAATTAATCAATGTGTCCCACGTACACCAGCCATAAATTAAATTGCACATAATCCGTAATCAATTAGTCACTCAATTTCTGATTTGCATTTTTATGGTTGATATATATAGAGCAAAATGATTGATTTACAACACGATCAGTGATTAAATTATATAGCCTAATATCAATATAAATATGGATCAATAAACCTTCACATTTATATACAAAATGGACATAATTATACAAAAATTGCTTACACATGAATTAACCAAATGTTTTAAATTAATGGGTGTAATTAAGTTTAATGTTAATTTACATTTCAATTTGTATTGACCTTAGCAATCCATATCATTTGGTTTAA